TCCCAGAGAGGTTGTGGAGTCTCCTTTGGAGATCTTCAAAACCTGCCTGGATGTGACCCTGTGCAATGTGCTCTAGATGAACCTGCTTGAAAGTGGGGTTGGACTAGATTGTCCCTAGAGATCCCTTCCAACCTCAATCACTCTATGATTTTCTTATATGTAAGGGTGGACCAGTCCACACTCGTACATAAAGGTTGGTGTGCCTTTTTACATAGGTGCCTACCTCTATGTACAAGGGTGTGTTGACCCCTCTTTGTGAACAGATACAGAGTGGATGGGCATTGATTGTGCTCATTCTTGGGAGTGAGCACTCACTGTTGATACCCTTTGGCTTTGTGCGGAAAATCTCGCAGTCAAGAACCGAATGTCCACAAAGGAGACAGAAGAATCCAAAAATTTATTCAAATAAAGGGAGAGTCCATCAGGGCATACCTCTGTGGGGTCTCTCCAATTACAGGAGGGCACAGCCTCTTTTGATCCTAATTTCCCAACCGAGGTATGCCCTCTTTTCCCCATTCGCTAAGGTACTCAGAAGTTACAGACTTCCCGGCCTGCCTAATATATATTGCTTCTTGATAGGTTCCTCCATGGTCATCCATCGCATGTCTAATTAAGTAACTTTATGGCTGTGGAACTTTCCCTGGCTGTGGAAGTTAATATGCAGTAGCTCATTATGCTTGTGCCTACTCTTCTAAAGTTCATTCTGTGGTCATTTGTTGATAACGATCTCTCTTCCTCCCTCCTGCTTTCCCCAAGGTCAGCTGTACCCAATCACATACACACAGCACGACCTCTCTGCTTGCATTCCCTAGTCCTGTTCAGCAAAGACTGTGGAGATTTCACACATTTATAAAAACACAGGCTCCTTTGCTCTGCTCAGGCTTTCAAGAACCCAAGAGTGAAAGACCAAAAATCTGCTCATTCTCTGCAGGCATGCACACCTTTAGCTCACAACATGTGTTGCTCTTGGGAAGTGCCACTTGCTATCTACATTTTTCATACTGATGGACCACGAGGAGTATTCATTTCCTGGTGTATTGCTGGGGTGCTGCACCCAGAGATAGCAACCCTTCCTATTACATAGCAATCCTTCTCCATCTCCAGATGGCTCAAGGCCTGTATATTTACCTATCTACTATGTGCAATGAGTTCTCATGGACTGACGGGAGCTTTTCACACCTCTGGCTCACCAAAGGCACTGGGACCTTTTGCTCTTTTATCCCTTTGGCTCTTGCAAGCCGTCAAAGGGCATCCACAGTGCTTGCTTGCATGATCGAACCCTGTCGACGACTGTCCAGTTCTGCACCTTTCAATAGGCTTTGCTATCGACATATTATTGGCTATTGACATTGACTGTTTTTCACAGCAAAAGGCTGTGATCAAGAAACTCTGATTCCTCGGCAGTTCTGTTGTGGGGTGAGGAGTGTGGCTGGGGAGGGATTTCTCTGCTTAGTGAGTAGTAGTAATACGTTCTGTTGTGCTGTCTACTGTTTTCCTTGCAGATTTGGAGCCACTGGCTGTAAAAGGATTTATGAATTGTTCTGGTTATTGCCTCCTCCAGGAAGAGGAGTGCTTTAGAAACCATAAGAAACAAAGCCTGAAAAGTGAATACCTGCTTGATGGTGTTTTCTCCTCCTGAGCTCCTGTTTTAATAAAGCATGGTGAATTGGAGGAAAACACAAACAGATCATCGTGGTTATGCTGAAGACTCAAACCACACACAGGCAGTGGTGTCCCACAGCTTCACAGATGCTGAGCTCTGTGTGTAAGCAGAGGCTCTGGAGGTATTTGTTTCTCCTAGCCTCGTGGGTGAGGCTTTCAGTTTGCTGTGTCACATGTCAGCCAGCACTTTTTTTTTTTTTTTTTTTAAGTTGTTGTTAGCACAACAGCGACACCTTTAGCGTGCAGAATAAACTCCTCATAATCCAGGAGGAAACAGTCACAGAATGACACAGAATCCCAGAATGGTTAAGGGGGAATTGGAATTGGAAGGGACCTCTAGAGATCATCTAGTCCAACCCCCCTGCTCAATCAGGGACACCTACAGCATGTGGCACAGGGCGGCATCCAGGTGGGTTTTAAAGATGTCCAGAGAAGGAGACTCCACATCCTGTCTGCACAGCCTGTTCCAGTCAGTGATCTGTTACTCCATTTGGATGCCCACAAGCCTATGGGGCCAGATAGCATCTACCCAGGGGTTCTGAAGGAGCTGGCTGAAGTGATCTCTGAGCTGCTTTCCACCGTCTATCAGTAGTTCTGGTCAACAGGTGAGGTCCCAGACAACTGCAGACTGGCCAATGTGATGCCTATCTGCAAGAAGAGTTGGATGGAAGACCCAGGGAATTACAGGCCTGTCAGTCTGACCTCCATATCAGGGAAAGTTATAGAGTAGATCATCTTGAGAGTGATCACACAATATGTGTGCGACAAGCTAGGGATCAAGCCCAGCCACCATGAGTTCATGAAAAGCAGGTCCTGCCTCACCAACCTGATCTCCTGTGACCAGGTGACCTGCCTGGTGGATGAGGGAAAGGCTGTGGATGTGATCTACTTAGACTTCAGTAAGGCTTTTGACACAGTCTCCCACTGCCTTCTCCCGGAGAAGTCAGCAGCTCGTGATTTAGACAGGTGGACTCTTCACTGGGTGAGAAACTGGCTGGATGGCCGGGCCCAGAAAGTGGTGGTGAATGGAGTTAAATCCAGCTGGCAACTGGTCCTGTGCGGTGTTCCCCAATCGTCAATGTTGAGGTCAGTCCTCTTTAATATCTTTTTTGATCATCTGTATGAAGGGATTGAGTGCAACCTCAGCAAATATGCAGGCAATACCAAGCTGGGAGGAAGAGTAGATATGCTTGAGGGTAAGAAGGCTTTGCAGAGGGATCTGGACAGCTTGGATTGATGGGCTGGGACCAGCTGTATGAGGTTCAACAAGACCAGTTGCCAGGTCTAGCACTTCTGTCACAACAACTCCATGCAGTGCTACGGGCTTGGGGCAAAGTGGCTGAAGAGCTGCAGAGCAGAAAAGGATCTGGGCATGTTGGTCGACAGCTGGCTGAGCGTGAGCCAGCAGTCTTCCCAGGTGGCCAAGAATGCCAGCATCAGCCTGGCTTGTTTCAGGAACAGTGCAGCCAGCAGGACCAAGGACGTGATCATTCTCCTGTACTTGGCACTGGTGAGGCTGCACCTCGAATACTGTGTTCAGGTTTGGGACCCTTACTGTAAGAAAGATCTCGAGGTGCTGGAGTGTGTCAAAGAAGGGCAACGAAGCTGGTGAAGGGGCTGGAGCACAGACCTTGTAAGGATTGGCTGAGGGAGCTGGGGTTATTTAGTCTAGAGGAGACTCAGGGGAGACTTTATAGCTCTCTACAACTATCTGAAAGGAGGTTGTTGTGAGGTGGGGGTTATCTCTTGTTCAGAGTAACTACAGATAGGACAAGAGGAAATGGCCTCAAGTTGCACCACGGGAGGTTCAAGTTAGACATGAAGAAAGTAGAGGAAGAATTTCTACACAGAAGGAGTAGTCAAGCAATGGAATAGGCTGTCCAGGCAAGTGGTGGAGTCACTGTCTCTTACGGTGTTCAAGAGACATATAGATGAGGCATGCAGGGATATGGTTTAGCAGGTATGATGTTGAAGGGTTTATGGTTGGACTTAATTTTAAAGATCTTTTCAACCATAATGATTCTGTGATTCTAGCACTTTAGCCAAGTGCTTTGGCTAAAAATGTGCACCTATACGTATATACTTTTATATGCAAACACATCACACCATGCATACTCATGCAGAAACTGCTAAAGAGACCCACAGTTTTTTTTCTTCTATAAAAGCTTTGTTCAGTTGTTTATGCCGCTGCCAGCCTGCCCTGGAGGCTACTGCAAGCCCTTATGCCCACCGGCTGCTGCCCTGACCTCTTGCACTGCTTGTGTTTTGCTGCAGTTGGGGCATGCTGGATCAGCTGCTCCAGTTCCAGTCTTTGGAGTCTTCCTGTTCAAGAGCACAGGGGACTTTAAGCATGCATGCAAATCAGAAAGGAGACAAACTTGGCTCAGAACTAGGGCTAGGGTCCACAGTTAGAGCCTCAGGGATTTTGGATTTAGGTCTGTCTCTGTAACATGTTATATAAATATAGAGATAGATAGTGTGAATGGAAAAAAAGGATGTAGATATTCAGCAGTTTTACCATGTTCTGGAAAGAGGAACACCTCTAATACCAGTGAAAAACAGCATTTACCTACCTCATTCACAAAATTTTGGGGATTTGCTTTAGAAGTCCTTTTTAAAATTTTTTTTTTTTTCATTATTGGTCACCTGCCTAAGAAGATATATCTTCTGTTCACTAAGACCACATCTTCCATGTTTTTTTTTCACAATTTATAATAATTTACAACCAGTATTTTCTGAACATCATCAAGTTCTTTTCTCCCGATCTTCATTGTTCCTGTCTTTGGACTGCTGAATGACTTTTCTAGTAAGCAGTGTGAAGGGATTTTTCCCTGATTGAATGATTTAGAATTCATTCATGCACTGTCATGCTTGCATGCACACGCATGCACACACACACATGCACACACATATATGCAGTATAATTTACAGTTGAAGATAAACCACATTGCAAAATTCAGCACCAGGTATGATTTAGTTTACTTTCTTCCCTTGCCTCAGAGGATTCTGAAGCACAGTCTTAGATGAGCTGTGTTCAAGTGACAGAACTAGAAAAGATGTTTTTGTTAAATTAAACAGGGCCTGTGTCTTGCCTTTGACTTCACTGAGAACAAAACTATTTTCCTTTTAAGAAATAGGAGCAGAAGCAAAGTCATGTGCAAATATGAAAGGATTATTATGCGGAGAATTCTTTTGGGGAACAGGGAATTGTTTGCTGCTAGTGTTCACAATGGCTTTGTCTTCTGCAAATGTTATTGTGACTAAAAACTGGCTCAACCAAATGATTATGAAGTGAATCAGTACATATTTTCAAGAATATTTGGAATGAATATATGTGCTATGATTTCTGACTGCTGACAGTTATGACTCCTCTATTTTTGCAGAGGACCTTTTCCTCTCTTTGTAACAGTCCTGGACACCACTGGACATGTTTTTTTTTTTTCCAGCGAGGAAAGCTGCATTCTCCAGCATATGCATATTGGTATGTGAGTATCAGCATCATACACTTATGCATGTGTATAACAAGAATTGCACAGGATGAAATAAGGGCGTATCTATATGGTGCATACACGAGTCTCCCTTCTTCCCTCCGTCGGCTCCTGGTCAGCACAAAAATAATTTTCAGGGACCGAAGATAACGGTTTCCCCGTTTAACAAGTATCTATAAAGTGAATTCCACGAGGGGGAGCTAGAAAACAATCTTTCGCTAAGCAGGCTATTAAAACTTTTTAAAGAATAAAGTGGCAGATGTATTACATGTTTCTCTTATCAACCAAAATTGATGGCTGAGTTGCTGGTGTATTAAGTCTTCCACTATGATGACTCTTTATTCTATGAGAACATCAAGTCGTGCTTCAAGGCCTTGTAAAGATTGACAAAAGATTCAGCCCAAGTGTCCTTCTGGTGCCCCTGGGATTGAGCAGCTCTGTAGGCTGTGTAGACCATGGTTAGCACTGTCCTTTCAAAGTCTTCTTTCTTGAGGACCCTCGGGTAGGTGGACAGCCTGCTACTCAGCCTGCGAATCTCTGTGATGCTCTTGGGAATAACCTCATTGCAGATGGTGTCAAACTCAGCAGCCTTCCTCAGTGAAGCCAGCTCCTCATCTTTGATGGAGATTCTCTGACTTTTGCCAATGTCAAGCTCAGCTAAAAGAAACTGGTACAAAATCAGAACACAGAAAGCTATTTATCTTCTTCAAGACAGTCTGGGCAAATTAAATGTGAATTTATGACATATCTTTAGATCTTTGCTTTAGTCAAAAGCAAAGACTGCTTTTGTCAAAAGCAGACAAACCTCTCATAGCACTAGGTGAATGTGTGGCAGACCAGAAAGTCTCTATGTAAGTGTTGCAGTCAGCTTTGAATTACCTACCTGGGAAAATTAGAGAAAGGCTATGGGCAAGGGAGGAAGAGGGAAGAGCGGCTATTCTTCTGCTGACTAGAACAGGCAGGTACTGCTGTTGGTGCTGTGTGGGGATTAGAGGGGTCAGGGATTGCAGCTGATTTGGGAAAGGCCATTTCCCACCCCATCCTCCACCCCTCTCCCACTCAGGAAGAGCAACTGTTCTGGCTCTCTGTAAGAGGGCACATTTGATGACATTTGGCTTCTCAGCTGACATGCCCTGCTTGGACATCCAATCCCAGATCCCTCAATGTGGGGAACAGATAGATTTGGCACGGTTACTTTCTTCAGATGGGCGTTTTCCCATAGCTAACAGTGTGAGATTATTCCGGATTGCATACAATCTGTGTACACCTGAAATCTCTGCTGGTGTGGAAGCAAGGATCTGAACCATTTTGAAGTGAAGCTGCCAAGCCCTAGAAATAACTCTGCAATAACTGATACTGGTGGCGTTGATAATTTGGTCAACTGCTTTGGGATTGAAACTCAGATCAAAGGATTTGAATGCATTATGTTCTTAATGGATAATTCTGGAAGTTACTTCCAATGGGGAACCACCGCTTTTAACTTTGTTGATCAGCTAGAGCTCATGTTTCTTCTAGGTTGCTCAAGTATTGCCACGCTTCGTTCTTCTTTATGTGCCACAAGAGGTGAGTTTGGCATATATATGCCTAGTCTTCCCCTTCTGATGAACTATTAAACCATCAGCAATAGGTTTATGGATGGAATAACTAAATATAATATACAAAGAGATAATGGATAACCCCAGTACAGGCAGTAACCCAGTCTTGGTTAGGGCTTGAGGTACTGTTTACTCCCATATACTGTACCTCATAAAGCAGGACCACGTCTTCCATCGAGTTTTGTAGCACTGGGTTAAGAAAGGAGGCTGAGGACCTCTTCAGTCGTTGAGCAGCTGGGAAAAGCATAGCTGGAGGACAAAAATGGGAAAAGAAAAGATTCATAGTGTGGCCAACACTGAAAATGAGAAGGACTTTCCAGTATTAGATTCAACTAAATAACTACCTGCTGTAAAAACTTACTGTAAAACATGACTTCTCATCGTAAATGCAAATAAAATGGATCACATGGACTGCCTTAAGAGTAATATGCTAGGGAGAGAGAACAGCTGTTTCCTGTACAGGTAGCCCTGTGCCTATAAAATGTCTAATAACAGCAAGGTTATAATCCAGGCCTGAGACTCAGATACAGCCACAATGTAATCAATAATAATTATAACTGCAGTATAACAGAGCCAGACATGTATGTCTTTCTTACTCTTGACTCAGGGCCAGGGGAGAAAATCTGCAAGAGAAATGAGTACTGATCCTACATAAAACTGCTGTTTATCAGTCTATTCTGCCTTGATACACTTCTAAGACCCTGTGTTTCTCCTAATTGCAGATGTCTGTAAATTGATCTCTCATTAGTTGGTAGAGAGGCCTCTCTTCCAGAGAGCAAATCATCTTTCCTGTCTTGATCTTGTATCTTGATCTTGTATCTGGAAAGAGTGATTCACTCTTAGGGGATGCCTATATCTCTTCATTGGCTGTTGAGTGAACCTACTTAAGCCAGACAGCTTAAGTAAGCGAGGTGAATCTCAGTCTCTTATGACTTAAATGCTGCACAGATTGATACATAATTATTGCCTAGTCTAACATAGTCAGTTTTTTATTCACTGCAGTGAGAGAGAATGTGGTATTGTGGGCCTGAACATTCAGGAGTATAGAAGACATCTGATGATGCAAAACAGATCATCTGAGTGGTTTGAGTTACTATAAATAATCCTTAGGAAGTTAAAATTCCTTCTGGAGTAGAAAAAAAGACTGTTTTGTTCCATATTATATGTATATGAATGGGTGTTTATAGTCTAGAGTTTTTTTTTCCCTCCAATGTCTGAGAAGAGGAATTTTTAAGAGCTGTACCTACTGGTTCACTTTATCTTAAACTTCACTTCTGCACTTTAATTATTGTTCAACATTGCGGAAACTCGGAAACTAGTTTAAAAAGAGGGAAAAAAAGCCCCTTAATTCTATGAGTAATGTTTATCTTAACGTCTTGGTTTGTTTCTGAATTTCCGAAAAAAGTAATGCCACCCTTAATCTACCAGATTTGCTTTCCATAAAATATTTCTGAATAGTTCAATTTTGTTTTGCTTTTCTGAAGTTCTTGTGATGGATTTTGCTTATTGCTTGTATAAAACCTGAAGGTCATTTAAAAGTCTCTCTGTCAGATATGCATTTTTTTTTCTGCAGCACCTGTAATTCTTTTATAGAAAACCACACATTTCCTCAGACAATTTTTATCTTTGTTTACCCAAGCACATCACAAATATGTAGCTCCTTCTAGACTATGTTGCCTCATTGCAGTCCTGTTTCCTGGGCCATTGCCAATAGTTGACTTTAATGAAGTTTGACTTGTTAATGATATTTAAGTTTTGGTGATGCAGGGAGAAGGAAACCAGGCACCAAGAGATTTGGTTAATTAGAATCTCTACTATTTGTCATAAGGAAAATTAATTGTGATAATACCAGGTATGAAGTAATTCATGCTTGACCCAGCAAAGGGTATTTTGGTACTGAATTAATTAGGGAACATAATATAGGTAGAATAGCTTGTTAAATTGCAATATACATATTGAAACTGGATACTGCTAAATGCAAATGAGTACTTCAGTGATGTGCCAGGCATTTTGGTGTGATACCTACCAAGCTAGTTTTTACATTTTGAATCCATATGATTTTAGATTAATACTTAAAAAAAAAAAGGAACAGTATTTGCAGAATATGTGACTAAGAACCTGAAGAACTGGATATGTCAAATAAGGCACCTGACATGTTGAAAAGGACATGCTTTCTACTGTAGCTTTTCTCCAGCTTGATGCCTTTAGCATCTGGCCAACCTGAGAAGATGGTGAGTTTGGAAAGGTCACAAGTCACCTCTGTGTGAATGTTGGGGTTCATGCCATCAGTGAAAATGTTCAGCAACATATTGTCCATTTGCTCCTATGTAGTAAGTGTTCAGAGGACCACTACAGGGCAGATCCAAGGCCCAGGCACCTCCATTTCTCAGCATACCCTGTGCCAGTAATACCCACCTGTAAATAACACTTTCTAGTGCCCTTCCTGGTCTTGGAGAAGAGATCTCAGCCTGGTTTCAACCCTTACAAATGTGGCAGGTCACCAGCAAGCAGATGATATCCTTTGTTTTGTGCTACTACTACTTTTCCAGTGCTCATACCTCTTGCTCGAAGCTTTGCTGAGGCAGACTGGAGCTATGCTTTGTTTTGCTCATGCTAGTTGGAAATGCGATTGGATGCACTTGAAACTTCAAACACTAATTGATAAGTAATTTGAATTTCTATTGCTGGGAAATTGAAACTCTAATTAGTAAACAACTTGCAGAAACCAAATCCATAATGATGACAATTTTTTTTTTATCTCTTTTAGATGCCCTTTCAATGGAAACAGCACCTGGATGCAGAATACCTCCACATATACAGATGATTTACATCTCACAACTTTCCTGAGCCATGGAAGAGGTGTCTGTGGTATCTTGCATGACTCTTGTCATGCTGATCACTCTTATGTTTTACGCCATGTGCAAATTAGTACCATGGGGCTGAGCAAGGAGTTACCACATTCAGATGATCACCATTCACCTAGAAAAGCATCACTAAAGAATTTTGCCTTCCCTGAATTTAATTAGTACTCAGCCACTTGCTGAATCACAAGTAACAGTTCTGGAGGGCACTGAATTTTCCTAACCAGCTTTCCCCAGGGATTAGGTTAGGGAGTTCAAAGAGACAAGCTGCTGTATGGTGAGAAAGAGCTTTGTGTACATGTCAGAAGTATATCAACCTCTGTTGGGACTGGGCCAACATTAACTCCCTGAACTCATTATCTCGTTCCCAAAACATAGGAAACTTTGTTACAGCTCTTGCAAACTCTACTCCTGAGAAGGAGAAACTCCTTCTCGGCTCAGTTCTTATTTGTCATAGTGATCAGGTTTTCCTGCTTCAAATTTTACCTTAGTCCTTTCCTCTCTGTCCTTGCACAGTATTCAAATCCTTCTGCCGTTATCCCCACTGCAATGGTCTCCATGAAATCCCATGTTCCTCAAAGACTCCATGAGCATTAAGGAAGAGCACATTCTGATTTTTGTTGGAGCAACTTACCAAGTATGTAAATTCAGCAAAAAAAGCCGTGAGAGAAGGAGTTAAAGCCAGGCTCCGCATTTGGAAGTCATAAATTCTTTTTGAAACTTTTCTTATGACCTTACCTCCTCCCACATTTACTTCTAGCTCTGACGTGAGCTAGCTGTACAATATCGAAGTGTTACTGTGATTTAGCATCTCTTTCCCATTTTCTTCCCTAAGGGAATTTCCTGTGACACTACTGCTTAATTATTTTTTAGGAAGATGTGAAGCAAGTTGCATATTTTTGTACTGATAATGTAGCTGATTCATTTCAACAGAAGTAACTGTTAATTTCTGAAGATCTAGGGATCCATACTGACAGAAGACCCAATCCAGTGCTCACTGAAGCCAGTGGAGATATATCTATTGACTTATTGTTTTTACTTGTGTTACAAGTAAAACTTGAAGCAAGAAGTTTCAAGAGACCTCCAACTGAGATTCTGGTATTTTCCTAATAAGAGCTGGGCAGTCTCATAATTAAAAGTTTACGATTTACCAAGATGGAGTAGAAAATATGAGGCTTTCATTACCTTCACTGGGAACAATTTCTGCTTTATGTCTGTACATGATCGAGTTCATTGTCTTCCAAATCCTTTCTTCAGAGAAACCCTAGCAGCACTTCCTGATCTGAATTACCCTTGCTGCCCACAGAGCCATCCGGATGGGAGGCAGATGAGCAGAGTGTGACTGAACAAGCTGGCCATCATTCTGGCCACCTGCTTGATCCAGAATGGCCATGGCCAAGGTACTCTAGAGCACAGCATATCTGTCTGAAGCTGCTGATCAGTCAAGGTGTCCAGTCATGCAGGTTGCTTAGAAATGCCCCTCTAGATACAGTAAAAAAATGTAGACATTTCCTTCACTGCTAGATTGCTCCCTGCTAGAACCTGGTAACTCTGATAAATCTATACTGACTCAATTCTGGGTCTCTTTTTGAGCAAAGGCTGCAGTAGCTTTTGCCAGATTATTAGCTTGTGTCTAACTATTTAGCTCATTACAGCTTGTAAGTTGCTTTATTGTTTAAATGTAATGTCAACTATGAAGCTGACAATAGCTTTATTTGAAAGCCGTTTTCATCCTTCTGAAGAACTGAGACAGAATTTTCTGGACCTCTTTAGACACATGACAAATGATTTTCATCCTCTTCCACATTTTCTATGTAGTTTCACTGGTGAGGGGATAAATGTTTGGTTTTGTTTTCCGGTCCACACTCCTGCTCCTGATGTATAGCTCCCAATTTCCGACTGTGATTTGCTTGCGCAGTAAATAGAGAGCATAGCTGCAGAGGTACTGAATTATTTGTGCCTCATTGATACCTTTCTTTTCCTATGAAAAAGTGTCAAGTCAAGAGCATGAAGCAGTGATTACTATCACTCCAAAGTGTCTACTTATGCCATCAGATTGTAGCAACAACTTCCCAAGGCTTCAGGACAGAAATTTGATTTAATTAGAACCATGACTCAGTAAAAATTGTTTTGTTTCATTTCAGGGCCACGGTAAAAGGCTATCTCATGGCTTCAGTGGAACCCCTTTCATGAAGGACAGGAGGGCATAGAGCTCAAATGGCTTGTGCATATAAACTCCTGATTCTCTGCAAGCAGAGCAAAGGACATATGCCTGTTGAAGCAGAAACAAGGTATTTGTCCAGCTGGAGTTGACCAGTGAGCCAGATTCAGTCTGCAGGCTACCAGTTGTGTCAGTCTGTTTTAGATTATTTGGGCCTGACTATAGAG